TTCGCTCTTCTCCTGCCTGGCCAGGGCAGGTGAATGCTATTACCTTCAGGTCTATCGCCTGGTGCTTCACTTTGGAAGCTCTCATATATTCAGTGCTCATATCATTACTTATATCACATATCACATGTGCATATGATCCTCCAATTCATAATATAACATATGTCATTTGTAATTATTCACAATATCATCTATCATATTATATAACATATATATTTATCTCATAACTCATTCTCAGTATTCATCTTATATCACATAACAATTTAACTCTATTAACAAGACAGCACACTCCTTACCCTATCAGATCATAAAATTTTTCACTTTTAGTTGGCATGTACCTTTTTTAAACTCTTTCGACTTCATTTTTAGCCTAGAATCGGCTAAACCGTAGCTCTGATACCATTAAAGTAACACCCCAACCCGTATCCGACCCGGATACGAGTCCGAAGGGTCACATTGACTTTTCAAACAATTTTTCTTGTTTTTTTTTCTTTTTTTTTCGTATAAAATATTGAGTAATTTAAAACTTTTGTACATGTAACTTATTCAAAATATTTCCATAACTATTCAGGCTTACATGTTTTTGACAAAACCGATCAGAGCATATACAATTCAAAAACTTTAATTACATGCCAACTATTTGCAATGTACAGAATACATCGAATTCAAGAGATCTTTTCTGATCTGATCTTCGGTAAGAAGTAACTGACCTGTCTTGCTCCGCATCACTTTTTACTCTTCTCGTAACCTACGTGTGAAACAATCACACGCTAAGTCTATGACTTAGTGAGGCAATAAACATATGTGCAAACTTTAACTAATAATCATACATGAACAATTACTGTTATCATTCATGCAATTCATACACTCTTACAGGTAACAATACAAAAGCAACTATATCATCATCTTCATGCTTATCACTATCATTGATTCTTTTTATCATATGATTCAATAAACCATTTGTACAATCATATATCACACATTTCACAAGGAAACAAACATATCATCATATCAGTTTATTAATATTATCTCGTATTTAGCCCATGTACACTAGTGAGAACTTAAGGTATGAGTACATTGAGGTTGTGCACACATATGCTGTCACCACAGCTCGATCAATGTCCCGAAGGACCAGTCCATAGATTCCGAAGAACCTAGGTAATCAGTCCATATGTCCCGAAGGACATAGGTAAACAGTCCATATGTTCCGAAGAACATAGGTAAACAGTCCATATGTCCCGAAGAACATAGGTAAACAGTCCATATCCCGAAGAACATAGGTAAACAGTCCATATGTCCCGAAGAACATAGGTAAACCCTCGACCCTTGGCATGCCAACTATACCCCTAGCTCTCATATCACATGACATGGGCATATCATTTATAACAGTTCACATTACTTATTCATATTCTTTCTCTTATAACCACATATCTTTTCTTTTCAGTCACGTATCACAGTACGTGTAATCATATATCTAATATCATACGTTGCATGTAATCACATAAACCTTATCTCATAACATATACTTGTTTTCACATATATATTTCATATCATTTCACATATACACTTTCATATCACATGCCATATAAGCTCATAGCTTCTTTCACATATACATGTAGTCACATAGCTTCTTTTCATATTCTCATAGGATCACATAGTTCATATCTTATACTTTGTTTTCTCATGTTCACATATATCATGTCATATGATTCATATCTTTCTCATGCAGTCACATAGTTCAGTTTCACATATGTTCATATATATACATTACATAGCACATACTTCTCATAACATTACATTCAAAAGCATGTTAACACATATAATCATGCATACATACAATTCATGTCATTCATATACGTATATCATATATTGCATTCTAACAGAGGAAATAGACTTGTCGCAAGTCTTGTTTCCATTTAGCACCATAACTAATTAATATGCACTCACCTGGCCTCACTAGTCCCTTTCAATCTCTTATCTTCCCTTTTATCGATCTTACTTGTCAATGATTCAGAACTCGTTTAGGCTTTGAATCTACATAATTATACAATTTAAGACCATTATTAGATACCTACACCTTTAATTGGATACTAGCAACTTAAACGAACTTATTAACCAATATTAACATTTTCCTATAGGGGGAATCGGTTCCCCCCTGTGGGGTATCGGTCCCCTCTGGCATTCTGGAATTCTGTCGCTTGAAGGGGTATCGGTTCCCCTTGAATGGGTACCGATTCCCCTTGCCCAGAACTCATATTTTAAGCTCGAAAATCACTTCAATTCTCTCAAACACTTCATATATCATCCCCTTTTCATTCTTAACTCTAGTACACATACTTAAACCAATCTATATTCATTTATTTCATCTTAAACCTTAGAATTCTATTCTCAATATAGAATCCAATAATCATATCAAAATTTTCATGTTATTCAAACATAATTCTAATACTTCTAACTTCTTAATCTCATAGATGACAAGTCAAATTCAACTTAAAATTCAACTTATCAATTCTATTTCAAGATTTGATTCAAGAACTCAAAATCTTTAATCTCTCATATACCTTTCATCTTGTTGTTTTAGAACAAATTAAGCTTTCCTTAAGCTTAATTATCATCTAATAATCAAAACTAAACTTAAATTTCAGCTCATAATCAGCTCAAGAGAAACTCACCTTTGCTTGGCTTCACACGTGGAGAAGAGAAAAATGAAGAAGGAAAAGAGAGAAGAGATTTTTTTCTGGAAACTCTCCATCCTTATCCATATATATATCATTAATTATAATTATAATTCAAGTCTAATGACCATTTTGCCCTTTAATTTTCTTTAACAATTACAAAATAACCTTCATCATATGTATCCAATAATCCTTGAACTATTTCATTCTTATTCTTTAGTCATCAAATTCCGAAACTTTACAATTTGGTCACTAACCCGATATTGAGGATGTTACAATCCAAACTTGAGAAGACGAACACACATTCAAATGATATCTATGTCATTCAGGTATTGACATAACATTAGGGTTGATCTACTCACTTAAGTCATGTTTCATAACTTTTAAGAGTAGTACAACACTTATGTTTATTTGAAATCTTTAATTAACCCAAAACATTTACTTATTCTATGTCATAAGGGCATTTTTTCATTTTGGTGCTCAATGTTTTTCCAATCATTTCAAAGCTTGAGGATATCCATTCATTCCTAGGCTTAGTGATATTCTTGAGTCATTTCTATTACAGGGGTATTTTGGTCATTTTACCGATCTAAGGTATTTCAATCATTCTTTTCCGTCTGATCTTAATATTTAATTTAATTTTATCATTTACTTCAGTCCTTTCAAATAATTCTGACAAAAGAGCACAATCGATAAATTATTCTTCAGGTATTTACTCATAACTCGAAGATTTTTTGGGTCAAGTGCTTTCTTAGATTTTACAAACGGAATATCAAAATTTTTTTGTACAAAGACATGATCTTAACAAATAAATTCGTAATTTATTGGGTTAGGAACGAAATCTCAGGGTACTTTCTCATTCCGGGTCAACTCAAACTATTTTTACTTCTTAAGGGCATTTTTATAATTTCTTAACCAAATAATTTCGGTATTAACTCTTAACGAAAATAATTATAATTTAAAGATCCTATGGTTAATTGCTTCCCCGAACATCCACTGATCTTGAAATGATTCCTTAACAGACTTCTAGTATCTTGCACAAATCCTCTTGGGGTTAAAAACCGGTTATCCAAATTTTCTAAACAAAACTAGCATTTCTTATGCACATATGTAGTTTTATCAGATCAATATGTCTTTTCAGAGTTATTAATCAACTTTCAGGGACAATTCTTGTCATTTTAGAATATAAGGGTATTTTCGTAATACCCTACCGGAGTATTCTCGTAATTTCTCATCAAGTACCTTTAACATTTAACATTTGATGAAATAAATTATATAATACATATCCAGACTAATTAATTTATCACTAATCACGAAACTCGTAATATAATTCTAGCAATCCCTCAATTTCTTATATCAGTCATCCGAGCCGTATTTAGTTACCGAATTTTTACCGTATCCATATCGAGTGTATGAATTAATTAAATACCCAAATGAGACCAAACATATTCATTCATGCATGTACCAATGCCAACATGTTCCATAAAAGCATGAAAAGGTAGTAATGTATTACCTCAATTTCCGTGTCATACAGATCGACCATATAAATTATATTCGAACGGCCTCGATCTTTAATTCAACTTCCAATAATTCATCAAATACATAACAATAGAAATTTCATAAAAAACGGGGCTTAATTCCGAAAAACGGATCGAATCGAGTGATAAATCAGTGAAAAACAACTTATTGGGTTTGAATTTTACGAAACGGATTTCGAAATCATTCTCATGACGTTAAAAAACCCAAAATATTACTATTTAATTCCAACTCACCAACTTGATTTATAGCTTCCAATATTTTCTAACGAACACGGACAATCTATCGTACAAATACGACTTCAAATAATTTTCCTCATCATAAAAATAACTTTTTAAAATCTAATTAATTATTTGGGAACCCAATTGTTAAAACTAAAAATGGTAGGAGTCAATATAATTTTTAATCAATATAATTAGTGACTAAATCGATCTTAATAAAACCATTATACCATAATCATAACAATATTAAAGCTAAGAGACAAAGGTTGATATTTTAACAACTTGGATGGCTTAACTTGTAATTTATCCGTTGCTAAGAGTAGTGTTCCACCGTCAGAATCTCTAAACTATTTCCAAAACTACGTAGTTTTGGTTAATATGTAAGTATCCATTTGTAAGCTAAATTCCCCCTGCATTTCTCATTTATTTAACATTTCATTTCTTTTACTATTTCCCAACGAAAGACTCTGTAGGGAGATAGAGAAGCTTCGTCGGCCGGCCACCAAACTCCGATAGCCACCACTTCGGCCGTCGTCATTGATCGTCGGTCTAAGTCCAAACTTTATCATCCAAAGCATCTTGGTCTCCACATCAAGAATCCGACCTTCGATCGTCAAGAAACCCGTAGATCTACAAAAAAAAACATTCGGTTTTCTCAAAGCGAAACACTCCGAATAATCTCTATAGGGGCACATCAATGCTATTAGCAACCGCATCAATCAATGCCATTTCTAATCCAGCTAGAAGCAAATTCGCTTCCAGGAAACATTTCTGAAATCTGATGTAAAACCAAATTCAAAGTCACTGGAGGTCCCTAGCTAAGAGATTCACAAGCTTCTCTCACTTTCTCAAGAATAGTAGCTTGGTTCCAATTAACCCATGGAACCACTGGAATCTCACCCCACCCAACACAGCCATTGTTGAGCTCAACTCGGCAGCCGCATTCTCAACCTGTTCAAGCGTCGAACACCCAATGGTCACCGGTTCTTGAAGCCCAACATTCAGTGGTTTCCCTTCAGCACTATAAACATCAACCCAGAAAATCTCAGTCAAGTTCTTCAACCCCAAGCTTGTTCGTGGCCTTTCAATTATTTCGCTAACTGATGATAGCTCATCAGCTCACTGCTGCTAGGGTTGGAGCTGGCAATGAAACGACCCTGCAAGGCTCTTCGATGGTTAACGACAGATAGAGAGAAAAGTAAAAAGCTTGTTGGACAACTGAAACAGAATGAAGCCATCGGATAAGATGATTGAACTTGGCTTCCTTTGTTAATTTTCAGCAAGTAATCATTAAACAAAGTAACCAATCAATGTCATTCTTTAATTTTTTTTAATTATGGAATGCCGTTATCTTTATTTTATTCCTATTTCACCCAACATTTTATCCACATTCTATATAATTCTGAACAAACCACGTGAATGTTATAATTAACTAAAGATTGGGGTGTTACAAAAAGGCCAAGGGAGACCTCAAATTAATTTAACCATCTTAGTGTTGCCACTTGCCAGTTGCACAAAGGATTCAGTTGATGAGTTGATATTTGTATAGATTTTGTCATGCTATTTGTTGTATCACCTTTCTGGGGGTTTCGTAGAGACGGAGAGAACAAAAGGAAAGCAATTTTGACTCTGAGAGGCTGGCTTCTGCAAGGAAAGGCTTCAAGAAAGTTACAAAGAAGCTGAAAATGGTTTGCTTTCTACTCTTCTTCCGCAGTTTACTTCATCTTGAATTCCTCACTTTGGATTCATACTAAATGTGATTGTCTGCACTTTTGTGTGCTTTTTGAAGCCAAAAAGCAACGAACGGTACAAGTGATGGACATTCAGAGCTACCAAAACCCAAGAATACCTTCTTTGGCAAAAACAAGGGAGGTGGTTCTCAAGGGAGGCACTGGTGACTGGGTGAATGAATTTAGATTAAATAGCATCCTATCTTTGGTTTTTCATTTCTATTTTCCGCTGTGAATGTTGTATAAGATAGGAGTACTCTTCGTATCTTTTATAGGTTATCTTTCCATGTTCTTTCACGGATATGTATTGAACTATTTATCAATCACTTGAATTTCTTGAGGGCCATGGACATCCATAGCTGCTCAATTGGGGGTGAATGATGCTTCTTTGTTTGATACATGTTACCCTTTCCCCATCCCAAATGTTCGATTTTTTGATTTGTAATATTACGAGTTTTCTTAGAAGATAACTCCATGTCTTGGAGGTATGTTACTATCTTTCATTTTTTATCAACGCAAGCTGACTCTTCCTTGATAATAGCTGACATAATAGGCAAACTGATGGTTTAAGTTAATGCTACTCCTGGGTAGGTGTACTTTTCGGGGTATGGTACTTTTTAAAATTTCTGTTTGATAGTCAGCAGTAATGTTTGATTCAACTGCGAGATACCATCTGTTAAACATTGATAGGTTATGCAGAGAACTGCCTTTTATTTTTTGCGAAACGTTTTCTGATGCCATGTATATGATTAGCACTGTTTTTCCTTGATTTCTAGCTAGGATCCTCAGGTGGCATGGGGGAAATTGGAGGACTTGTTAAAGTATTATGAAAATGGCATTGGGCTAGCTAGATCGTGTATTTAGATTTTTTGACCGGAAACCTAACCAGAATCAGATTATGGTTATTGAGAGTGACTGATGTGGTGTTTCATTTTACTGTTAATCTTTGCTGGTTATATGATAAGGCTCCTTAACTTCTAGCATCTGTAGAGAGAGTCAAGGGTGCTCTGCATGGTTAACACAAATTTATATTAAGAGTGAGGTTGATCTATCGTGTGCTCTCTTCTGTGGTACTGCATTTTCATTGATGACTTTTAGCTTATTTGTTTCCAGTAGTTGCTTGTACTTGGAAGTTGCTTGAATCAAGTTTGTTACTACCTCTTTAACTGTAGCTTCTTTGCAGTCAACCTAGTACTTCTATTCCTAATGTTGCGTGGATTCTGGTAGGTGTTGGATGTGGGCATGCGTCCAGCAAGGGTATGCTCAATTTGTCCAAGTTTTCCTTATATTTGGAAAATCATACGCCCGTAACCTTGTCCAAATATGTGTCAGATACGGTTGTCGGACATGGTGGTTTAGGGAAAACGGGGAGTAGAAGCAACATAATCTGTTACTCTTTGTGCAATTATATTCTTTTCATAGGTTGCAAACCTTTTCTCTCAGCTATCTAATTTTGTGAGATTTTTCTCACTTCAAACTGAATGCTTAGGAAAACATGATTCATTACCCCATCCACAAACTCAAAACCATGGTCTTCCCCTCGAGCAAAACAAAAGAAATAGAAGACATGTCAAACTTACTTCCACCTTTCTGTTCTCTATAAGATGCTGTTTAGTTAACCATTTTCTTGATAGTTTTGGTTTAAGGTTGTGCGGTCATCCTTCACTATGTTTTAAGCAGAGAAAGAGTAATAAGGCTCTCTCTATAAGTGCTTTGCATCTTACGAAACGATCGATTACACTTTGGCCTTTGTGCTATGACCATAACCGACAAGATGAAGCGGCCTTAAGCTTGTTATGCCGGTTGGTGGATGCAGTCTATCAAATTCTACAGGTACTCACTATAATCTCAGTAGACTTGTTTTCTTCAGTGAATTCTAGTTTTGTTTTAAGGTGAAACTACATTTTTCTTAAACTAAACAAGCATGAGCAAGCTATGTTGGGGAACCTGTGGGTGACATCCATGATTTATAGCTCCTGTGAAGTTCGATGCGTTGATGATCCTCAACTTACTTGCATGAATCATCTTTTATATCTCCCATCAGCTTTTAATGACTTCAACTTGCATTTATCAAGTGCTTATGTTCTTCTACTAGGAATATTTTTCCCTATTTCCTACAAATTTCTTTTTGCAGGTTAAGGTTCTATGTTAATCAAATAATAACAAGAAAACCATTCTAAACATTTAAGAGCTCAAAAATCTAACTTTGAACTCATTTTATCTTTCATTAAATATTAATTTGTTGTGTATTATAATTTTCATTTTAATGTTCTTAGATGAATGTGAACTTAAATTGACAAATATATTACCTTGTGACAGATATGTAAATGAAAATTTTTAACTACGAAAAGAATACCTTATATCCGCTACTTTCACTTGACATTCCTAATTTATTAACTGATGATTAATAAACTAATAATTTGTAGGTGTTTATGAAAAGGGCTTAATTGATTTGTAGGTTAACAGTAGAGGCCCAATTGAGTTCAAATTGGTGTAAAAGATTTAACTGGTTTTTTTAATAAGAATTTTTAAGTGTTTATATCTGATTTATTGACCGATTATTTCGAATTTGATTTTGTAGAGATTTATTATGAGAATGGTCCTTCTAATCCAATGACCTTACTCAAGGGATTTAGTGTCTCATCCCATTATATCAACTAGTTGAATTTAGTGTCTCATCCTATTAGATCAACTAATTGTTGGTTATATATGACTTATTATTATTTTTATTTAATTACTAATATCCAATCAATTGATCGACTAGTCTAGATCGAATTTTTATAGATATAATTATGAGAATAATCTTTCTAATCCAATTTATTACATTCATAAATATCAAGATTTGAACTCAACTTCTGACCGTCCAAAACTCTATCTGAAATGTACCAAACTCGTCAAACAGAGCAAGAAAAAGATTTATTAAGAGAAAAGTCGGTGATTGACGACAAAGTTTGTGACAAATGGTCTGATGGGAACATAAAATAGATAACATACAACGACATTGGCTATGGATGCATTAGATTTTGATCCTACATAAACACCATTTAGGAATTAAATTGAATTCCCTAACCTGCATAATGTGACACACACAAAGGATGATGATCCAATCCAGTTATTTACAATCAACATCAAACCAGAAATACAGACAAGTTCGAGCATAAATCACCCGAACTCGCTGTAGTTCTAGACCTCCACTGGTCAAAACAGCCTTTGCGCCTCCTTCAATCCGAGTGTGAGATACAGAAACGCTATCTCCATCGCTCTTCAAGTTGGAAGGGAATATCCCGCTACCGGCCGTACTCACAATCGGGCATGATAGATAGTCCAACGGGTTCGACTCACACTTAAGTATGCATCCGTCTATAATTAGCCTTCCACTCCTATGAAGCAAGCAGCAACCTAGCTCCGCCTTAACCGATAAGTTTGCCAGCTTGCAGGTCGATAGAAACTCCAATGCACTGCTCCAGCAAAATGAACATCACTTGTTTCTCTCGATAAAGGGAAAAGAAAGGAAAAAGGGGGGGGGTGTATTTGTGACCTAGTAAGAGCCATCTCCAGATTGTTAAATATCTGCATTCATTCGTAGCAGCCAGACATGCAATTTACTGTTTTAGTTTTATTAATCGCGTGGCCACTGATTTCCAACATGGAGAAATCTCTCAACAGATCACCATTTAATATTGAGGCAAAAACATATCAGAAATTTTGCAAACCTGTCTGAACCTCGCAAACAGAAGATAGTTGTTTCATCAGGAAGTTCACCTCCGCCGATCTGAAGAAAATAAGTTGAGATGAAAGTGCAACAAAATAAAGAACTTTTGCTATAATAATAACTAAAAGTTCAATACTCATTCTCCACTCATGGCCTCAATGTCTATTTACACATAGCACCGAGTAGGGGATGGGGAAAGAAACCTCTAAGAGAAGTATGTCCTACAGATGGTTCCAAGTAGCTTAAACATTTTGTAAACATGGTCTTAAGACATCCATTTTAGGATATCATTACTAGAACCCTAAACCAGAAATCCTCCAAATAGAAAATACCGAGAAGCGCTTATAATTTATCCAAAAGGGATGAAAAGTAGGTAGGTAGCAGTAGTCTGAAAATTACCCAAATCATGATAATTGAATCGAATAGGGGCTTCCAGGCCTATATTTCATCTCTATACATTTATACATCTTTTGAAGGGAAAACTAAAGCTATAAAGGACTTACCATTTAGGCTATTTGTGATCATATATATTGTAACAAAAAGTTTGGCGAATAACTAGAATGGAAGTGCATTTCAAATAATAGCAGTGCGATTAAATGCATTTTTATATAAAAAATATCATGTGCATTAAAATAAGATGAAATGTGTACCAACTAAATAGGGACTAAAATAATGATATGAGAAAGAAATTAAAGTCTCTATTACCAAAAATAATGGTTTTGGTATTAAAGGAGATTACCTTATATAGGACAGAACATTCGAAGGAGGAATGTTATTCAGACTCGAGTGTCTGATATAGAAATTTGTCAACCATAGGTATGCTCAATTTTTAAAAGTTTTTCCATGTATATTATTATTAAGGGTACTTTGAGGGTAACATTCCCATACCCATGTATAGATATATGCTAGACATGGGTGTAGGACACGAGTTTTTTCCCTCAAAATTTCATATTCCAAAGATAAAATATATACCAAGCAATTCATATAGAATTAACTTTTGCAGACTTCTAAAGACATACCAGGCAGAGTGGCTTTTTAATCTGAATATTAGAGGCAAGATGACTGCCACCAGCTGCGATTAAAATAGTGTCACCAGGTCTGAAAGGGAGAGTTTGAAGATGAAGGTCTTATTAATATACCATATAATCACCAAGTGACCAAACCACAACTTAGAAACAGTAGTTTTATGTACCGGGCTGCAGACACAGCTTCTTCAATGTTAGGGAAAACACCAGGTTTGGAAAAATCCACGGATCTATCGACTCGCAGCCACAGTCGAGGGTGGCAAGCCAAATAACACCATCTGTGGCAAACGAGGGCGGTGTTATACCGATCTGCAACTCAATAGCATTATGTAAAAGGGATTGTACTTGGTAATGGGATTAAAATGCATCAGAAATGGCCATGCCTACTAAAAAGCTTTCAAGCCGCTAGAATGTGAAACCTCTGAACACCAATCTGGAGACCATTGGTCCTCAAAGAATGAAGAGAAAGATAAAAGCCGCAGTAAAAACGCTATTGCAAAGCAAATTACTCGAAATGTGTTTTTTCAGACCTTTTTACCTCATTAGCATCATGTTTTCGGGCAAAACAACTAAATATCCTACCATTAGCACTAGATTATCATACAAGAATACCACTAATTTGGATGCGTTCAATAAAAGAAATTTTTTATGACAATACATGAATCCCAACATTGCAGCCACCATTTCAGGGTCCTACTCGGGTAAAGTTTTGCTAAGCCTCCACTTTAGAATAAGTAGTCAAATCCCCAAAGAGCACGAGACATCCATTGATTTCAATAAGCAGAAACTTAGTAAATACATATTACTCCATGGCCCATGCATTGCACTTGCATGAAGGATATCCAAGTTCATTTCTTCGGTGGCAAGAACTATAGAGATTGGTAGGTAAAAAACAAACCGAGGGATTCGTCAAAAGAATGGAAGTGAAGTGAGTTTGAGATTGTTGGTTTTGTGAATATTGGCAGCATTCTGAATCCAACAACCCGAAATTCGGGTATTAGGGATTGAAAACCAAAATGAAAGCTCAGGTTCTTAATCTAACCCAATTATCAAGCAGAAACAAGAACTATCAGAATCAAATACATTACAAACGCCTTCTCACTCCATCATAAGAATCACCAGAACTTGGAGAAAGAACTGAATTCAACAAAGTCAACTTCCAATAAATATTATTATACCTAAAATGGCTAGAATTAACCTTCAGTTCACTTCCAATAAATCTAAAAATAACATTAATTTCTTATCTCTAAGATAAAAATGCTTAAAAAAATAATACAATTGCTTCATTCATATACACCCTAAAAGGCTACTTCCTATGAAATGAAAACCAATGATTGACTAAAAGAAACATAATTTCCTTAAAAACCAGATGAATAAATACGAAATTGAAGGTAAATAAATGAACCCAGCACCAAATGAAGCAATCCTTTCAAAGATCAATGAAAAAATATTGATTTAAAAATAAAAAACCCAACCTGGAATGGGAGATAAGAAGCTGAAAATATGCATGAGGCAACCATCATCAAGATTATTAATAAGCGCAGAAGATGAAGATGAAGAAATCTTTCTTGACTTTCTCTTCGCTTGTTCCTCCACCTCCATGTCCTGCCTTTGCCTTACCAAACATAAAGATTACTCTTTTAAGTACGCAATGAACAAAAAACCGACACGACAATCGATCCGAGTTACTACTTGGGTTGATTCTTTTAGAGTTGAGTAGCTTAACTAAATGGACTCAATCGAATTTACAGGCCGAAACTTGGTTTTAAGCCCAACGTTTTATGAAATGCTTAATGAGTTAGCTTGTTCTTCTCAAAATTGATGATGATATCCCCCAATTTTAACATTTTATCAATCGGAACACTTAAATTATTTAATTGTGTCAATCAAGTCACTTGATGTTGAATCTTAACCGAGGAAGTTACACGGTTATTTAGAGATTGGTATAATTACACATTTGATCCTTAATATTTATATATTATATCTATTTAGTCATAATTTTAATTTAATTCAAAAAATTAACCCTTCAATTAGGAAATATAACGTGTTAACAGATTATTGTGACACATTTCATTAGTGACATGTCTAGCCAATGTACCACCAGGGATGTATCATCAGAAATGTACCACAAGAAAATGAAGCAACAAAATTTAACAACTGCATCACAAAATTACGATTAATAAGAAGGTTAATCCAAATTGAAAGTACTTTAATACGATTAATTTTAATAAAACTTCAATAATTAAACAAAGTTTACATGTACAACTCTTTAAATAATTGATTTTTAATTGTTGAACTGATTACAAATTAAAATTAATATGTAAAATTATATTAGTGTTAATAATCTCTAAATTACACATTATTTAACTTTGATGCCATCTCATATTAAAAGGAGGAGAAATACATCACATCTATAATACTTGTATACTCCCTTTGATAATGAACGCTTAAACCTCTAGCGTATGTGGTGTTTAAACTTGAACCTGAAGTGATAATAACAAATTTTTTAACTACGGAAGTCACTTAATTGCATCTGCATCCTAATTTGAAAGTTCTAATTTGAAAGATCAAAACTACGGGTATGTTCGTTTCACTGAAAACATTTTTCATAAAATGAGTTACATCTTTTGAAAAACATTTTCTGAAAAAATATTTTACGGTGTTTGGAAGATGTTATGAAAATCATTTTCCACTAGTTGATAAATTTTGTATAAATTATTTGTTGCAAATATGAAATATAATAAATAATATTATTTATTTTCAAACTTAATATTATTATTTTAAAAATATTATAACAATTTATTTAATATTATTTATGCTAATATTATTATTAAAATATTATTTCTAAAATTTTATAAATAAAAATGTTAAGATTAGTGTATTCTATTAAAATAAAAATATTATAAATTATATTAAAGATTTATTAAAATAAGAATAGCATATTATATTTTTAGAATTATTAATAAATATATTTTAAGTATTTTTATTAAAATATTATTAGATTATTATATTAATATTAAATACATATTATTATTTATTATTAATAATTTAATAATATTTTTAAGAAAATAGTAAATAATATAACTTTTGTTAATAATTTATTATATATTATTCAAATAAGAATATAATAATATCATATATTATTATAATATAACTAACTATATAATTATATTATTATTATAATATATTATATTGTTAAAAATATTAATAAATATATTTTAAATACATTAATAATTAATATTTTTATCAAAATGATACTAAAACATCATATTAATATTAAATACATAAAATAATATTATTTTAAGTATTTTGAAGTGTAAAGTTTAAAAAATGACTTGCAAAAAATTAAACCGTAACTTATTTCTCATAAAATACAAAAAAAAATTCTGTTTACCAGAAAAATTTTATACATTGACCAACCTGTTTTCCTCCAATCAAACACTGAAAAATGTGGAAAATGTTTTTGCATTAAACAAGCAGACCCTACATGTTTGATATTTCAACGTCAAAATTCCAAAATTTCTATTGATAGATGGATTTGATACACTTTCGGATTTTCAGTTTTTTTATCAGTTCTAACAATTTAACATATTGGAACTTCTCTTCAAATTTATGCAGCAGAAGAGTATATTAACACCAATATCAATCCACCAAGACTCGTTAGGTTTGACATAGTTGAATGACATTCATATCAAGTTATAGATTAGACGACACACATAACAAAAGTTGTCTGTCCGAGGATAGACGGTCCGAGGAATGTTTTCGATGTACATAACTAACATCAACACATGCACCATACGAATGCGATAACAGACTTGAAATAACAATGTTCCAAGGCTCCCAATCCCGCCAGTCGATAGATAGGCTCCAAGATAAGCTTGAAAGCATCAGGTCAGCTGACAAGAAAAGAAATACCTTGGAATTACCAGTAAATCCGTATAATGATTCAAAACACGCATTTAATGGACGTGGAAGTATTAAAGGAAGGAATTACCCTTGGAAGAACTTTGGGTTTTCATTGAGAGGCTTCAACCTCAGCAACTCCACCACCCGCAGGCTCGTAGTTCGATTCATTCTCGGAAGTATCCATGTGAGGGCTGTTCTTAAACTGCTCCACATGTTGTAGGTCCAATGGGTAAGGAACTTCTGAGACCTGGTGAGAAAGGTTTTGTTTAACTTGGGAGTTGTCTGATATGCAACCCATTGGCAAACTCATTAAACTCGCTGATTTGCGTTCACTTGGGAACTTTATGGAAGCAGGTGATTCAGGGGTCTCAGGATGTTTTCCCGATAACTCCAGAGGCCGATGGAAGAGTAAATGAGCAACAGTACGGTCTACGGGATTGGTTTCTGTTTCAGCATCAGACATCCTGTACCATTACGTTCAAGGTGAATAATGAGACCTAAGCTTCTAATGCAATCCAACTCAAACAGGCATAAAAAAGCATCAAGTGCATATTTAACAAAAGACTGGATTCAGGTAAAGACCAGGGACATTCATAAGAACAACTTCAAAATGAAATCATTCAAATATTAAGCAAGAAAACAAACCAAATGAAACATATTAATGCTTTTGAGTTTGAGTTTGTTTGAGGTTAAACAGATCACATAAACATAAGAAATCACGACAAGGAGGCAGCTATATCATAAACACAACTAGACATGTACTTCTTTGACTAGAACAAGTACACGCCCCACCTTTAAATGTCTTAAAAATAAGATAAAATTGATGCACCAGAAAGAGACTACTATAATGGAATAGGATAATGCAAATTAAAGGTTTATGCTCGGCAGAGTTTCATGGTAGGATTCAGTAAACACGTTCCATTCGTAAAATGCTCGAAGGGCATGTTGTCGATCATCAGAGTCCAATAGTGACACCACCCACTATTGCAAAATTTACTTCTGAAAGGAATACACAGAGTTCTAATAGTCATTAATATCTATGATTTTTTTTTTCTCTAATTTTCTACCATGAGAAAATTCAAGCAATCATAGTGTCATACCTGACACCCATATCCATGTAAAAGAATGCAACCTTAGTTTATGTACTTCAAGCACAGGTTCAATTCAAAAGTTACCAAACTGTGACAAGTTAGAAAAGGATCAGCCAAATCTTACAAAGATGAAAGCAGCAAGACCAGCAATTTTTCTTGACTGAGAAAGCAAGCTACACAAACAAGAAATAGAAGAATGCACTTCTTTTTTTTCTAGAATTTCAGTCAAGACTAAAAAACACATTGATGCCTTACTAAGTCGGAGTTCATCCTTTTTACTGGTACAAACCATTGTTAACCTCGTCCTATTTAAATGGAAGTATAAAAAACAGTCATAAATAAAGTAATGAGCAAGTTCTTCAGTCCAACAACCTAGAAAAGAAAAGAGGAATCTTATCTTGAACACTTCTTATTTATATTTTTCATCTAGGCTCAAAATATATTGATGCCTCAGTAAGTCTGCATTCAGCCATTAGTAGCGCAAATCTTAGGTAATAAAACCTTCCAAGAGTTCATGACAGAGATTGACCTTTAGAAAGATAATATAAATCAGTTTCGCTTTTGACATGAATATATATCTGCACCAGCATGGAGTCTTCTAACCTGATATAGTTCTTATTTTCTTCTTTAGCAACTTCAATTTCATCCCTGATAATTTTATTAGTGCTGTTTGTGTCACTAGAAGATTGCCTTTGCATTGCACTTTGAGCCAACCGGAACAAACTATCTCTTATGCGAAGTCTAGTCCTCACATCCAACTGCAAAAATTATTCTAGATGTCACTAAATCCTCACGACCAGAAAGGCAGAATCTCAACAGCAAGTCAAGCATACCTTTGCAATTATTTCTTGTAGCTGATTAAGTACAGTATCCTCCACAGAATAGTCATCAATTGCAACAGAGACCGTACTAGAATCATTTTGCTCTAGAGGTGAGTTCGGGTCAAAAGAAGCAAGAGTGTTGAGGTCTTCAACATGCTGAAACTGATTTTCTTGAGTTGATTTTTGAATGACAGGTTGATCGGTACAATGAACTTGATGAGTAAATTGTTGCCGCTGTTTCTGAACGGCAAGCAGTGCTTGCATTTGCTGGCGCCGTCTCAATTTTTCAATTTTTTCTTGAGGTGTCATTCTCAAAAACATGTTTGAAGGATTTGCCTGACCAGGGGAAACATCATAACTAGGAAGCGCGGTTTGCCGATTAAATTCCTCAGACTGCATGTTGGGTAACATGGGTATTGCAAGATATTGGTTTGTAAGATTCCCATATGTAGAAGGGGCTACAACATATTGGAGACATGCTGGTACTGCAGTGAGTCGGATCCTAGAAGCTGCCTCTGCTGACTCATAACTGAAGATGGAGAAGATTTTAGTATCGAGGTAGCCACATTATTCTCATATTGAGCCAATGGATTTCCAGCTGGAGTCCAGGCATGTAAATTTTGTACTTGCTTTGCCTTACCTATTTCTTCAGTTTTTCTTCGAAGTTTCAACAGCCTTTTCTGCCTATATGCCTGCACAGAGAAATATTAAATGAAAAATACAATATTCACCTATTGGAGCAAAGGCCTAACTTTATAAAGATGATAAATTAATGTCGATAATTTATATATTGCTTATTCAAAGCAGCCTCCAAACCCCAAAGGGAAAAAAGGAAGAGGAAAGACGAGAGAAACACAATTTGCATTGATGGTCATACAAGGTAAGAGAGAAAAACTTGTATCACCATATATAGCTAGCGAACTTTAAAATGTTTCAAACTTAGCTGCTGCTTGAATGGAATGTGTCTTTTTAGCATAATAAATTTTATATTGGACACGTTAATGCAGTAATACACTCTCAGCATCAATTAGCAATTACAAACTCCTAGATGTATCAGCATCTATCAAAAGGTTCGAAATCTTGCAATTATAATTCAGTCAGTCCGCAATGAGTGAGACACTATAAAAACTTGTTACAGGACCATGAAATTTATTCTAAATCTTGAACATAAGTATCAGAAACACAAGATAATTTGAATAGTCAAGTATAAGGGTAAGATAGGAATACCTTATGGCCCAGTTCATTAGGGGCCACAGCTTTTTCTGCAAAGGGATGAGACTTTGATGAACCAGTCTTTCCCACAGTTTTTACATTTGTCTGAGGAAGCAAAAATAGAAATTATGTGCCTACTTTGGATTGATTTTCTAAGTTAAAAGCATTAGTAACTAGGAATTGGTTATACTGCATGTTAATATTTAACACCTGCTTCTCCATTACAGATTTGCTTTTATCTCCACGTAATTCCAAATTATGCAGACCATGAGATGTGGAACCATCCAGTTTCCCATAACTAAGGGGAAATGACTGGTTCTCTTGCCGTTCATATCCTCTTTGGACTTCCAAATGCTCAGGTGTGCTCCTAGGAGCTGGGTTAGGAAAATCCACATTCGTAAGAAAGGATTTTCCAGGGCTGTTTGTTACCACTTTAGATGAGGACCATAACCCGTCAGCACTACCAAGACTTACATTGCCAAACATTGGATCATCATTGCTGCAAAATCATCACTTGTGAGAATATTGAGTCAGATGGATGCCATCGTATATGATAAAAAAAGAGAAACAAGGAATGGAACATTATGCTTGTAGTTCTTTTTCCCTTGAAGGGGAGTGGGTATTGACTCCTCTTAGATTTTCTTCTTATACAGGTTTGATACACTGCTACAAGATCAAGAGAAACAAATAACAAGTGCATATTAAATACGGACAACCACACTGAACAAACTGCTATAGGAGTTTCAGCTTCTAAGTTCAAAGGGTACATAGAATAGTTATAACTAAGATAAATGAATTTTCAGTGTCAAAATTAAAATAAAAAGGAATGGTCCTTATTTGAATACACAGAGATTGTTTCGTGGTGACAAAAGAATTAACTTATTCCAAACAAGATGTGAGAACTATAAAAAGTAATACCTGACTACACAAATGCCTATCTTCTGGACTAGAGTGTCACAGCAATGCTTTCTAAGCTTCATGGAAGATCTAAATTATTGCTTACCTGAAGATTCGATCAAGATCATCAAAGCTTCCAATGTTAGCCCAGCTGTAGTCAACAAAGTCACCTTGTTCTTTACCTTCATTCGGATTTTGAAAAATTTTAGGATCTTTACTAAGTTCAGTCATCTCTCCTGTAAAGGAATGTAGATAACTAAGTTATGAACAATAAATATAAATATGATATTGGCTTTAGTCTGAATAGCTAATATTCTTACCATCAATCGAACTAGATTTAGCTACTTCGACCAAACTGTTAGAGACTTTGCTATCAATGGAATCCTTATCCGTTTTTTCTGCATTAGATAAAGATAACTCTGGCCACAAGCCCATGAAAAATCCCGAAGTGGCAATCCCTCCATCTGCATTGAAACTGGAACTGCCTTCCAACTTTTTTCCATGAAGATCAACTGTGTCCACCGGTGTCTTTTCCTCCGAAGACTTTATGGTTGCAGTTTCTCGACTCCATTTTGTCTTACTATGACAATTGCCACTTCCCTCTTGATAAGGTACTATATGGTCATCAGTCTCACCATCCTCATCCCATATTATATTTGTTAGCTGAAAATACAAAAAAGGCTCCACATCACCACTGATATCACATCCAAGAAGATATAATCATATCCTTTAGCAACAAAAATAACAAAAAAATAATAATAATTAAAAAGAACAATTTGAAGGCCATGGAAAAGCTGCAGGGTGAATGAGCCTGCCTGATTAAATTTTCTTTTTGGCTGCCTTTTAAAACCAATCACTTGAAATAATTATAATTTCACCACAGAGAAAAGATAAAATCATCAAACTCTCCTCAAACCCAGATGATTAATAACTTCTAATGTAGCCTCATTTGTTTCACAAAGCCTCTTAATATTCTTTCCTTTCAGCTCAAATGTCTTGACATCACTTGGCATTCATTAAATATTCCTTCAACATTTGATTCAAAAAATGAATGTCCTGAAGAACGTTTATTGCTTCTACGTTGATTAGAGCATGAAACATAACCTAGATAACACTTTTTTTCACAAGCATAAAGAGCATGAAATTGCAAAAATAAAATAAAAGACTGCATACAGTTGTCTCACTCAGAGGACAAGCTAACTGATTCAAAACCTTAAAACCAATCACTATTTGATGGAGGAAACAAGAAATATTTTAAGTTTATGGCCAAGAAGATATAGGGCACCCCAAGTATATGCTACCTGGACTCCAAAAATTAACACACCAAGCATAAAGGTAATACATATAGTGTAGGAAAAGTTCTCCAAGGAGCTCTTGTATACTCCATTAAGAAAAAAGAGGCTCTCCAATGCACATTAACCATATGCTTACCAGGTGGACTAGTTTGCCCCTCATTTATTCTAGTTTGTCATGATTTTGAGTTCCTAATACCGGACAAGTTCTTTACAATGAATGTTTAATTCCACCTTATAAAGAACCAAGATCCATTTTCACCCAAAAGAAAGACATCCTTCAAGTATTTCTAGACAAAAACCATTCTTAGAATTCCTCAACTCTTGTACAGCTTATTACATTTGCTTTATCCTACAACCCTGCTTTCCTGAAAATTCCATTTTTTTCAACCAAACAAAAAATAACAGCACATTTCTAACAAGAAAATCCTATGAAATAGTTTTAACATAATATTATTGCAAACAACGGTAAACCAAGCCCCAACGGTACAGTACATGGAAAATGAAAATAATTCCAAGTGGAAAAAGCTATTTTCATATTTTTTTTATATGTAAGAAATCATTACAGTTACTATAATTTGATTATTTCAAAACAACTTTAATCCAAAATATTTTCTTAAATAGAAACCTTAGCAGGTGCTGCTTAATTTTGATAGTCAAATGAGAGAGAAAAAAAACAGAGATAGAACACGAAAACATGGCAATTTCCAAGAAAATCCAAACATAATCGTCCAATTCAATATATTTCAAGTACAACAAACTATCAATTCGTATGATGGATTGAGATACTAATTCCTTTAAGTAAGGTGAAAGGTTCTATGCAACAACATACCTGGGAAAAAAAGCAAAAAAAAATCTTTCGTGAAACAAAAAGTTTAGATCTAATTACCTCTTCTTCGTTCCAATCAAACATATCTAAAGAAACCGAAGTTAATCACAAATCTACTTCCGAAATCCGAACCGAAGGCACGCGCTAAAATTGCTCCACGCATTGCCAATTCCACCACAAGCAAGTAGCAAAAAGAAAAGCCTAAAACAACAACGAAAAAGAAAACATATCCAAACAAATAAAATTAAAATAACTTTTTTTAGTTATTTTTATTCTTTTTTTTATTGTTATTATTATTTTCGGATTTGAAAAAACAGAGTGGGCAAAAACCACGAAAAGTAATTGAAAGAGTTTGCAGTAAACAGAGAAAGGGGAGAAATGCAGAGAGAGAGAGGGGGGGAGAGTTTGGAATGGTGAGGACTGGGACCCACTGACGTTGATTTGATGATTGTGTGGCAGATAAATGTGCCACGTGTAAAGAGGTATCTTAAAGATGTGGTCTAGAATGAACCGATCTTTTGCTGAATGGTGATTGGGCCGCTTTGATCACGTTTCGTTTTCAAATGCAAATAAAAGATTTCCCCACTTTTTTTGGGGGTAAAATCCCATTCTCAGCCCCTTAACATCAACAAAACTTTACATAAAACCCCCTCTGCATACAAATTGAATTTATCTTTATTTTCTGCTAAAAATTTGGCCTTTTTAGTCAATTAATTCATAAAGGATCATAATTTTGGAAAAATAAAGTCTTCAAGGAAAAATTTTATAATTTATGATAATTATCCTAGACTATATTTTCTTTTCTTTTTTCTTGCCTGCATTGTTTCTCTAAAAGGACCGGAAGCTGTTGGGAAAATATAGGGTTTTGTGGTTAGTGGGCAATTTGCAATTTTGCTTTCATTGGCTATGACAAGGACTTCTAATGTATTATCCTTCTAGCATTTCACTATTATTAATATTTTTTTATAACTATTTATATTTGATTTATTAATTCACTATTCTGATTGGGTATTTTAGAGATGATGAAGATTTTTTCAATTCAGTTTGTTCTATTTGTAAATATTAATATTCGAATTCCTAACATTACTTAAGAGATCTAGTGTCTCCTATCTTTCATTGGACCAACTGGTTGTTAGTAACTATAACTAAAAGTTCATATATATTTTGAATTATTTATATTTTAATTTTCATATAAATCACATTTTTTCAATAAACTAAATTATTTTTTATTAATAATAAATTAAACTATTTATATTAGTATCATTAAACAATTATAACCTAAATTGGATTGACACTTTTAATAAATTCAAGGAAAAACAAATTTAATTTAAATGAATAATTTAAAAAGAAATTATAGATATTATGTTTGGTTTCCGTGAAAAAATTGTATGAAAAGAAAATATTCTATCTTCAACTTCTTATATTTTCTTGAGTCTCTCGATAAAAAAATAAATTATAGTGTATTTTTAAGACAATTTTTACTAAATTTTCTTGTACAATATATATGTCTATGACGGAGAAGAGAGGGGATTTTGGATTTTTTATCTTTGATTAACCCACCTCTCATTTTTTATCTTTTTTATCATTAAAAATCACTGTACAATAAATTGTCATAAGATGAGTAGCTCAACTACTTAACCATTAGGTCAAACTATAGACTTTGATTATTTTAACAATATATATTATATACTAATAAATTTTAAAATCTCAATTTCATTATCATTTTTCGAATCATTTTATACCTATAAAGTTTACCTTCATTAAAATTGTCATAGATGGATTTATTTTAGCATGCTCCCAACTATTCTCACTATTCCAACGCAATTTGTCTGGCATCCCTTCTTTTACGTCTTCCTCTCCTCTAATGAGTTGGACACTGACTCAGCTGCTGACCTTGCTGATATGTGATTGCGGTGATTAATTTTTTATATATTTTAATGATCAAAATGTAAATATCGTAAAAGTTCGTGACCATGACCCATGAATGCAATTTATGTGAAAATATGATTACAGAAATCATTTCCAAGAGAGAAACTGATGTGAATTTATAATATTTTAGAAAAGATTTAACTAATAAAATTTTGAGAAGATCAAAATAAATTATTCATAGAACATGAATATTAATCCTTTTAACAATGAAAACACTGAGTACGACTTACAAAAATATTAGATATTACGTATCAATGGCGGATCTATAAATTAAAAAATGAGGTCAAAAAATTTTATGTTTTATTCTAAAATATTTGGGCAATTTTTTCTATTCTCGTTAATAAATTAAACTAAATTTAACACTTCCCTCAAAATAATGAGCGTGCAGTGCCCTAGGGAGCGACGTATATCCGCCCCTGCTACTTATATCCAAAGAATCAAAGAACTTGTTTCACAGTACACACAAGAATAGCTAACGAAGTTGTTTCAAGTTTCATATTTCTTGAGTAACTTCTTTTGTTGCCAATCTGAAACCCGTCGCCGATGGTGAGGGCTCAACGCCTTGAGGTAAATCGGAAATGGAGGCGAGAACTCGACGAATACTCAAGGAACGAGGAGGCTTGAAGCTGAAAGATGTTATCTTGTTATGGGAGAACAGATTAGATGAGTTAGAAAGGATGAGATAAACCAGTGCTTGAACAATCACGAACATCAGAATCCTCACTAACGAATCTTCCATTGACATCTCTACTTCCATGGTTTCTTCAACAAATTAACTGATGAGAAACAGGAAAAAAAAGGGGATTTTAAAGTATGATGAAGGGAAAATGGGCAGGGAAGGGATTATATATAGTGGGAACTAGGAAGAGCGGCTTGTTTTGACTCGTTGGAACTCCTATTTTGACCCATTGAAGGCGTTAACGCCAAAGTTGACCATCACTTGTTTCATTAAAAATTACTTGTGACTTTATAAAACAAAATTATATAAAACTTATCTTGGTGGATGAGCTGCAAAAATCTGCTAATCACTATTAAATTGTTGTCGGCTATCTCATAGTACAAGACTTGGTCTTAGATTTCCATCTTGATATTCTAGGTTTCTTACATCTTTCCCAAATCCAACCATGTGTCATATATGATTATTTTATGCAATAATTAGTATAATGCCTAGTTGTTTATAATAAAATTCCACAGTATCCGAATATATCTAGCATCTTCAGTGATTAAAAAAATATTTTTTTAAAGTCCTAGATTCAAGCAGCTGCATTTGTAAAAAGTGTGTGCGTTGTTAGTAGTTAATAAAAATCTTAAACAAATATTATCTTTAATCCTCCGAGATTATTAAAAAAATCGAGTGTGTCTTCCTCCTTATTAAAATGTGTTTTTGTTTTTTATTTTTAACTTATCAAAGTCCTCATAGATTTTAATTTTTTTAAATCTTCAAAATTTTATATTATTCGATAAATTATAAATTATAATCTTTTGACTTGATGATCCACCTGAATTAAATTTATTATCTTGCAATCATATTTGTTTACCCTACCAACCTATAGATAATCATTGTCACTCTAAGCATGACACCAACACTAGACCTGTATATATTTCATCATGCAAGGTTAGAGGAGGAGATTTGGACTCTATCTCTCTATCTCGGCATTGTACATCATCTTCTTTATCTCATTAAATTTATCGATCGTGATTTTTTATCTAAATCAGAAGGAATGAACTGCCAATAACACTTGTTACCACAATTTTTCCATCAAAACAATTTCTATCAATACTCCTACTAGTATGTACTGAATTCATTAAACAAATATCAACATACAGACATAATAGTTGCGTATATATAGACACATACATACTAATACCTGCAAATCTACGACCTATGCGAATTACCAAATACGCGAGCTTATGACTCACGCGAATTTTTAGCTGTGGAGCGTTCCTCGAGAACTCTCACCAGCAAATATGTCTCTCAACTACGATCTCGTGAGCATATCTTGTGGATAATCTCCAGCGACCACTTGTTAATATACGTGGTCTTATTTGATGACTAACCAATAGTCATACAATACAGAGCAAAAGGGAGGACTTTTTAACCAACAAATTGGACCAACACCATCAGAAACACCGAAATCATCATCGAAACCACTTATCTAATTATCTACCACCTTCTGCAGTTGTTGATCACTTCACCATTAGTTTCGGGGCAATAAGCGCCATCCCCATTTCTTCTATCAACAGTAAGTTCAAAATTCGGCATCAACAAACGCCCTTGTTATCTCAACACACATGTGGATTGCTGGAAGCATAATCTTTGTATTTCTGTGATCAAACAGTTAGGATTTAACCCGAATTTATGTGAAAGAGGTTTATAAATATGGAATCTCATACTTGCGGACTACAACATATAATGCAAAGACATTATTACCTCATTCGCTGCTGTAGTGACAGTTGACTAGTTCTTGAGACAGGTAAAGAAAGAAAGCAATTTGAGAGGCAGAGAATCATGGAGGAAATACACACTTTTATGGACTCCATGGGCCTCCCATTCTATCAAATCTATGGGGGAAAATGTTAGTAATGCAAAGGTGGAATCCCATATTGAATGGAAAAAGGTGTTTTTTCGATCACTAGAAAATATTTAGGAGCATTTTTTTTTGTTCTGAGAAGAGTTTTATCGACCGTTGTTCATTTTAAATTTTGAGCGTACGATTTTTTTGGAGAATTGTGTTAACAACGAGGGACGACGTCCAATTCAACGATTACACCAACTAAATCGGAATTGATTCTAAAGAAGTGGTACTTTCACAACACAATTAATGGCATGCTTTATTTTGTTTATTCATACAATCTGTTTTTCAATAGTAATATTCCCAATAATTTAAAAATAAATCAGTATTGCTGGCCAAATTTACATATTTTACAACGGATATCCAATAGAGACGTTGTGAATAATTAAATGAATGTTCATTCATCTTTGATCTCCCTAATTCCTTAATCTTTCACCTTATAACACCTTTTATTCTTATGCTTATACCCCTATATAAATAGTGACAATGTACAACTTTATATGAACACGAGAAATAAAAAAAGTTATACTTTTTCGTGCCATCATACTTGTTCTTCTATATTTCTTAGTTTCTAATTAAAAGTTTTGATTTCATGTTTATTATAAACAATCCATCTTTTTATTCATTGGCTAGGCCTAATTATTAACATTTGCCAACTCAATCAAGCTACTCAATGCATTTTTTATATAAAAAATCTTAACATTAATAATAAAAAACAGTTTGCAAACCCTAGCTTTGTTCTCTTTTTCTCTACCAACCCGCAAGTCTGTCTTTTTTTTTTTAATTTTAATTTTACCGATAACGATATTAGTCTTGGTATTGGTTGCCAACCGTCAGTGTTCATCTCGCTTTGATTTGTTATTTTATTCATTTTTATTATAATTTTCAATAAAAATATTTTTTTTTTGACTTCTTACTTTTCGCATATTTGTTTGCCATTTTGGCACGTTTTAGCTTTACTATTTTGACACGTTTTACTTTACTCTTGTGGCACGTTTCATTTGCCTTATGGTATGTTGTTCGCCTACCTCTGCAGTATATATGCGATCATGTAGAGATTCTCACATCGCTCGTATTTGATTTGCGATTATTGATTGTCAGATTCCTTTTTGTGATTGTTTGTCGATGTTGAAATATCAATTTTGCAAATCAAGATGTAAGTTTGCTTTGGTTTCGCTCACCACTCCTTCATTACTTCTAAAGTGTCTAGTTGGATAGAGACAAAGGAGTACAATTGACGTTTATTGAGTTACTATAGACGTTAGATTCAAAAGAAGGTTTCATCTGTTATTGCGTCTTTGAGTTTTTTTTATGTTTAAAATTTTTAGTGAACATAGTTCTTAAAATTCTTGTTTTGGTTGGTTGCATTGTTAAGGTTGTATTTTTTTTTGTTTTAATAAAATTCAGTATCGTCGTAAAGTTTAAAAATAAAGTCTTAACTTTAAATTTTGAATAAGGATATTAAAATTAATTGAGTACTATTGAATAAAGTAGATAATTATTGACAAATGAAAAGTGGAAAAATGAAATCATAATTTTTATTGCTTTGCATACTTGCATGTAAAGATGTATTCTATACATTGTTGGTGATGAATAAATTTTCCAAAAGAAAAGGGCCATTGATTTGTTTACATACACAAGAAGTTGATGATCAAACTCCATTAATTCTTTTGGTTTTGGCATCCATTAAAAACGCCCTTGTAATCTGCAAACCAAGATGAGGATTCTTGGGTGCAAACACATCGTACTTACCCGAAAAAACAATGTCCTCCATGTTTCGGACAATGAAGTTCAATGCTGTTTCCTTCAATGTCTTGTTGGAACAAATATCTGAGATCTCTAAAATCTCAAGAACATTGGACGCGTTCAACGAGCTCAACATGTATCTTTCGCAGAAATCCTGCAAGTAGGGAATCTCGTACTTATCGGCGGCGACGAACAACGAGTAGACATGTTTCTCGAGTTTGTCCGAATCCAGGTTTCCACTGTAAAGAAACTCAAGAAGAGATTCAAGTTCTTCGGTGTTCAACTCCGGTAGAGTAATTGTATCACTTGGTGGAGCTTTGCAGCCGTCTGAATCCAGCATGTTCCTGAATATCTCTGATCTTGCTGCCTATAATTTCAGTCAATAATTTTCACGTTCAAATACGCATAATTTGTATACGTTAAGAAAAGTAAAATAAAGAATCCGGGTTTGAGCAGATAGTATATAAAAGTTCTTAATAAATACTGTTTTATAATCACCCGAAACAGTTAAAAGAACGTAAAAGGAAGAAAGAGAGGGAATTACAAGTAAAGCTCTGTGTGCTGGTATGGTTGGACCATCATTTCCAGGCTTGAGCTGAATATCAGTGTGAATTTGATCTCTAAAAGCCACAATAAGTCCACTCAAGAAGCTTATTTTCTTGTTCAGATCTTCTTCTATCTCCTTCATGTTTGTTATCCATTTGCTAAGATTTCCAAGTGGCTGTTGCTAATGCCCAAAAAAACAAATCACATAGCCATGGAATTATGAAACTGTGAAAGAAACTATAAAAAACTATGGATCCGCCACTACATACAAAGAAAAAGTAAGAAGAAAACATGAAAGAAGAGGTTGCTTGCCTTACAAGAACTGGGTGAAGAAGATGCAGTAGGAGTTGATTTACAGTGATGATCAATTTCGAGCTTGTTCATCAAAGTGATGACATTTCTTGCACCTTCATAGCAAGCCCCACATATTGTATTCCTTGGAGGCCTTAGAATAAATGGCATTGAACTACAAATTGAACAATCCATTTTTACCCGTTAATCTGCAGAGGAGGAAGAAGACAGACTCAGGTTTTGCAGAAGAAGATGGAGTTTCTTTATTTGAAGCTTTAAATTAAAAGAATTGTTGGCTGATAATGAAGCAAGTTTGTTATACCTTATTTTATTGATGTTGATTAACATGATAAATCAACTAACATATGATGGGGGATTTTTTTTTTATTTTCTTTTCAATCAAATGACTAATCCACCCTTTCAAACCCTTTCGATAATATGCGAATTATAAATCCTAATCTCACGTCAATCCACTTTGTATGCCAATAAATAGTAGTTTTCATTTTAACTAAAAGAAGTCAATTAAACTAATTGTTTTTAATTAGAGTAAAATATAATTATTAATATTTTAGTGCTATAAGAGTTCTTGTATTATAGAAGTTTGGTTGAATTGTACATGTCAATCAATTTAATTTTATCTGAATAATAAAACATTATTTAAATCTAAATAATTGCGAGTTATTTTACAATAATTTTGTAAGATATTTTTTTAAAAAATATATTTTTTTAAAATAAAGTTAAAGCGAATACAAGATAATATATGTAAAAATTTATCTACTCTTTTTTTTTCTCGTAAAATCACTTTTTTAAACATTAATTTATTAATATAACATAAAATATAAAAAAAAACTTTTATTGATTATTTTTTAATAGCCTGGGTGATTATAAAATAATATTTGTTCAAGATTTATTTTAATCATGCATATACATCCTATAGACGTAGTTACTTGGACTCGAGACCTTAAGAGAAAAATAACTATAATTTTAATCACCGAAATAACTCAAATAATTCTATCGATTCAAAAAATTTAAATTAACTTTATTATAGATTTGAAATATTGGAGTGATGATGGTTATCCTATGAACACGTGTAGTGGAAATTATTTGGTGTATGCAAATATAGGTGTTATAAGAATATAAATGGGATGGGAAGTGAGGGGTAGAAGAGTAAAATGGATGAATGAATTTAGAATAGAGGGGAGTTGTTGGCTGGGGATGTGAAAAAGACTTTCCAACATCACAACAGCAAGGATGTGCAAGGCTATGTGTAGCCTACCAATCTTTTACCAATATATATTCATTCACAACCTTCTTCTCAATTGCTGCCTAAAAGGTTGTCATTCTTATGTCCGTAAACGAGTCAAGTTGAATTCGAGTATTGTTAAATTCGAGTTATGTTTAATTCAATTTGATTTAAAAAATTTAAATGGAGTTCGACTCAGATTGAAAACTTGCTAGCCTAAAATTTTTAAGTTTGTGAAGTTTCGAAAAAACTCAAAATAATAAAAAAATCTTAAACTTAACTCGATTAAAACTCAAACTTAAATTCAAAGTCGAACTTGAACCTTAAGCACATGAAAATTTTATAATATATATTTTTAAAAAATCAACTCATGAATGCTGATATTATTAATAACTTAATTTTTTAAAATAAAATATTAATATATTATTTTTTTAGTAGTTCGGAGCTTTTCAAGTCGAATATTAAATAGCTCGTTTCGATACGTTAAGAATTCGAACCCGAGTCGAATTCATTCAAATTGAGTATTTATCGAGCTTTAATCGAATCGATCTCAAATACCTTATGATATCTATCATCTCATTTGCGACCCTAATTACCCCCATCCTTTTTATTTCATTATATATAAGAATGAATGTAAAGTTTTATACTCCAAATGAATTTATAAAGTTTTATTTCACTCATTAAGTCCATCACCCAATTCCAGATCTTCATGGCCCAATTAAAGTATATTAACCCAAAGAAGGCAGTCAAGTTTTCCCGCAAACCCCAAAACAAGCTTCATCACTGCAGTCGAATTGAAGCCGGAGAACTCTGGAAAAATGGAAGCAACGAAATCAAGAAGAAAACCCAGCAAAAGGAAACCATTCACTGATCTCACCAACGCAGCCCCATCGTCTCTGCCTTCTTCAATCAAACCCCCAACCAAATCTTCACACTCTTTGTCTCTTAAATCCCTTTTCAACGACAACCCCAATGCTCATCTTAACTCCAACTCCAATTTCACTGCAACCGGATCCCCAATCAATGATAATGTTAACAGTAAGAAAAATAAGGAAGACACGGTAAAAGGTCCAAGTAACGAGGCAAACCCTAGCTCAACCCTGTCTCCGCCGCCCAAAACGCCTTCTGTTTCAGGTGATTTTGATGGGTTCTCGGATTTTCTTTCTGGGTTTTGATTGGATTTCAATATAGGATTTTGGTTTTGGAATCACTGGTTTTCTAGGGTTTTCTTGTTCTTCATGTGAGTCTTGATGTTTTAATTATAATAAATTGATTTAACATTTTCGCATCAATAGAGCTTATTGGTCTCTCTCTCTCTCTCTCTGCTCAATGAAAGCTATATAGAATTGCTTTAACAATTATTCGATGAATTTGAATAATTTAGTTTCTAGTTTTATTTGCTTCGTTTTAATGAAACCTACATAGCATGAATGGATATAGTGATCTAGGTTCTAGACAGTTTCCTATGACTACTGTTTCCAGCTATGAAACTTAATATATTTTTTAGAAACCATAGTTGAAAATACACTATAGTGTGGAAGTTGGTGATCTGTGTTTTCTCAACCATTTTTGGTCCCTAGTTTTATGGATTATGCATGTATTTTGGGTCGAATGGATTGTATGTACGGATTTGGGGTTTATTTTAGGCGATGGTGATTCTGTACTTTCCGAGCTGTCTACAGTTTACAAAAGAAGACAGACTGCTGAAAAAGGAAGACCAAAGGGAAGGGGATTATGGAACCTACCAGTTGCTCTCTTGAAACAAGAATGCCAAACTTAAGGTGATTCCCTTTTAATCAGATTTTGTACTTGGTCCTTGGATAAAAATTAATATTTGATAACTCTAGAAGACAAGGGTGATTAAAATGTGTTAGCATAGCATAATTAAAAGAATAAATGGATTGATTATCAATGTCATGGTATGGTAGCCGTTGATGCTATCAGATAGTATTTTCCTTGTTCTAATTAGCCTTATACGAGTAATTACTTAAATGATTAAAACGATCTTCAGCATTAACTCTCAACTCTTTAGTGGTTAGGCTTCAGGTGACAGTACTTAGATGAGTACCCCAAAAGTTTTGTTGATCAAATGTACCAAATTTGGGGTTTTGATAGGTTGAGCATATTGTATAGTAGAAAGTAGAAAGATAAAGGGCTGACTTAATTGTGAAATTGGTTTAACTAATTTAACTTAATCTTGTATCTTCAATATCTTCCTTTTCCTTTCATTTTTGACTCTCTCTAGAGATAGTGGCTGATGGGCTGAAAGTCAATTTTGATACAGTTTTGTTTTAGATGCTTGTGTTTTCATTGTCTTTTTAAACTGTTTCCAAAAGTCAACGTTATTTTCTAATTTAGCTTTTCTTGTCAGTGTGTAAATGACTTTTGGGCAAAATGCTTCGGGTATCAAAGTTAAAGATCTTTGTATTTGTATGTTCTGATAACATGAAATACTTGGGTATTGAAAATTACATTCTTGCGTACTCAGATAATTTTTTTCTTTACTCATTTTTGTTCACATGTAATACTTTATGCTGCCAATGTTAACCGCTATGTTTGCTCCCTGTTTCATTAATCCCGAAAATCTCTGTTGCTTAATGTTTGATCAGATTATGATGATCTCCCATTGAATGTTTTCCCTTTGTTTCATGTATTAATGTTGCTTCTACTGGTCTTTAATATAGGAAGAAAACATATGGAGATGGTGATATTCGACTCTCCAAATCATGTCCGATGCCTTGTAGAAAGGTTTGTTTGAAGATTCCCCTAGTTTCTTAATCTAATTTATATTGAATGGGTAATGCTATTGATCTTTGGTTTGTGAATTTTTGGCCTTCAATGAGACAATTTTTTTCTTTCACAAGCTCTTTAAAATCCTTTGGATCTATATATAAAGCCCACAATTTGGTCAAAAGTGTTCATGGATAACTCACAACTGTATATTGCATTCCTTGTCATGATTACCGCTAACAGTATCAAGTTATAGAAATTTAAACACAATGGTTAGCAAACGATATCAAAAGCAATTTTGTATTAGTTATATTGTTACTAATAATTATAGTCTGTTGCTGTTTTGTTTTGCATCAGTCATATTGCTCTTTTGTCTCTTAGAAGCTTTTTTCTTCCATAAGCATATGCATACCCGAAGATAATGTTATTAATATGCATTGAACTGACCTCATTGGTTTATGTCATTATCACAGAAACAACGCCGAGAGAAGGGTGAGGTAAATGCTTCAAAGCATGAGTTGCCCCAAGATTTCATTGACAAACAGAGAGCCTATTTTGCGGAGATTGATGCATTTGAACTGGAAGAGGAGGTAGCATCAGCTGATGAGTCGGAATAGATGAAACAAATGTATATAGCTGAATGATTTAGGTGAATACAATTTAGGTGCTTTAATCCTGTAATCTTCATCTGATGGGTTACCGATAAATTTCATGTAATTACCACGTTACCAAGTCATATCAGATGCTTGAGTCTTCACCATCCTATCTCTTGTAGTAGTCTAGTTTACAGCATTGGTATATTGTAGTTGACGGTTAGTTAAATCTATGTGAAGCTAAATTGTAGTTTATACAAAGAGTTCTGTTCAGATACTTGTGCTTGTTTGATTTCAAAGTGTAATTTGTTGGGGAAGAACCATTGCTTGGTGTTATGCTCCTCTTTTTATTCAGTAGAATATTTTATTTGTCTAATCTTGGCAATCTTGCATCTTATTGGCCAGATTGTTTTTGGTGCAAACAATTTGCATTAAAGTTCAAGTTGGTCACTAATGCTTGATAACCCTTGACTTAGTATAATTGCTTGCAATGGGCGGATACACTTGGCCTCCTGGGGATAAAGTGCATATCCATTATTTTAGATAAATTATTAAATATGATTCAATATATTAAAGAAAAGAGAAAAAATTTATGTACCTATATTGTTAAAAGAACAGGAATATTAAAACTTTTTGATCCCATTTTTAAATTTTTTGGATCCGGCAATTACAAGAGTATCGTTTTATGTCCGTATTCTTCTATTCAATGTATATAAAATCAATGGTACTCCCCCGAGTTCAGTACAAATCAACAAATATAATTTAGAAATAAGAAAAATAAAAATTTTAATTAATAAATAATAATTTGAACGGAGTTGAATTACTGGGTATTTTAATTAATAAGTAATAATTTTAATGGAGTCAAATTACCAGATATTTAATTTAAATTCATTTTAGTGACGAAGGGAGTGTTATTCTCTCTCGAAATTCTGTATTTAAGGTGTGCGTTGTCAATGATTAAGAAAATAAAAATATTATAAGTCAACCATGCTTACACTAAGATGTAGGATTAGGCTCACTTGTAAAAAAGAAAGAAATAAGATTAGGCCCATCAATTAGCTCAAAAAAGAGAGGGAAGTCTTAATCGTGCATAAATGAAGGATTTGGCATTGGAGTAACCTACAATTGTGATTGATGAATCCGTTTCTATGAGTGAAGACTGAAGAATTAAGGCTCTTATACGATAATTGGGTCTTAGCCCATTCCGAAATCGATATCATGTTTTATACGATAGAAGTAAAATCTAGATAAATAACCAATTTACACAATTCAATAATCGATTATAATTTTGGTTATCGACTATATAACAAAAGTTGTCCATCGATTACAATCAACAACTTAAGTGCTAAGCCATGCAAACGTAGAATTTTTGCAGGGAATAATTATGAAGATGAATTAAATTTGTGACTCAATGTGGAAAATTAAATCAATGAAATGATTAAATTGAACGTTACCCTTTAAGTCAAAGCATTCTGGTAACAAAACTTTGTCCTTTTTTACCAAAAATAAATAAAGCACATAGTTGACAATCGACGTCGACACACACAAATAAATAAATAAATAAAATCAAGGCTTTACCGTAACAAGGCTTTTAATTGGTCTTAAATCTATCTAGGGAAGCCTCTTTCATTAACGTCCAGGAGGACAAACATAAAATTTTATATTATGAGTAAATTTTTAAATTTTTAAAAGAAACAATGATAAATTTACTTGAATTATTTATTAATTTAATCGTCTTGATATATATTTACTTGAACTGTGTCACGTTTTATTAGTTTGTATGTTTAATTTGCTTGTTTTTGAAAAGTAGTGAAAATGTGCTATATTTTAGCTATATCATTGATCTAAAGTAAGTGTTCACCAAATGATAATAGATTTGAAATGGGGAGCTTTGAAACTTTAGCTACCACCGCCCACTTCTTCATGAATTGATGCCATGTTTTCAAACAAATACGCCTTCTAATCATCCAAGTCTTCATCTTTACGTTTTTCTTAATCGTAATCATCAATCAAAATCACATTTTGAAAACGTAAAACTGAAATTTGCATGCACATTGTAAGAGTCTACGTGTTAGGTAACCCTGTCGGCATGGACAAAATTTGTGTATATAAAGCAATGGGTTCAGCGCAGTTTGTTTGCAAGCCCAAAGCCATAACACTACTAAAATGGCCTGTTTTTCAAACTTGGGTTTGACATTGCTTCTCCTTGTGGTTGTATTGGGAAGCAGCAGTGCTAAACTTTCAACCAATTTTTACTCAAAATCATGCCCAAACTTGCTTTCAACTGTGAAATCCACTGTCACCTCTGCCATTAACAAAGAGCCCCGAATGGGTGCTTCTCTGCTTCGATTGTTCTTCCATGACTGCTTTGTCAATGTAATTCTTCTTCTTCTCATCTTTTGTTTTGCTTTTCTAGTTTACTGGGATGGACTGAGGTGTATTGGTGTGCGATTATACCTATGACGTAAAATCTTGCATCCGTCTTTTGTGATAACGTCGTAGGAACATGGCAACTTTGTTTGACTAGTGTCAAAAAGTACATTAAAAATGGAAATAATATTCCAAAGGATACCCACCAAATTGACTTGGTTCTGTTGTTTTCATACAGAAGCAATGGTAGGTAACTAATAACTATGTACCTTGATTTATCATGGTGCTAATATGATACTCGTGATAGGGATGTGATGGATCATTGCTGCTTGACAACACGTCGTCCTTCACTGGAGAGAAAAACGCTAACCCGAATCGTAACTCCGCTCGTGGATTCGATGTTGTCGACAACATTAAGTCGGCTGTTGAGAATGTTTGCTCCGGTGTAGTTTCTTGTGCGGATATCTTGGCCATAGCTGCTAGAGACTCTGTTGAAATTGTAAGTCCTCAACACACATACATGATACACACATTGAATTAAGCATCTTAGTAACTGAGAGAATACCCTGGTTTTGATTTGTAGCTGGGAGGGCTCACATGGAATGTAAAACTTGGAAGAAGAGATGCAAGAACTGCTAGCCAGTCCGCAGCTAATAACGGCATTCCTCCGCCGACTTCGAACTTGAACCAGCTCATTTCCCGGTTTAACGCTCTCGGACTTTCCGCCAGGGACTTGGTTGCTTTATCTGGTTTGTCCTCTCTTCTACAATTACACAAAATCAAACACCTACATCCGTATCTTAATAGTAAGAGACGAACGCAAGATTTTTATGCTTCTTTTGCTAACAGTCTCGAGTGTGCATGCAGGGTCACACACAATTGGACAAGCAAGGTGCACATCATTCAGGGCTCGCATATACAACGAGAGCAACATTGACTCTTCCTTTGCTCAAACAAGGCAAAGAAGCTGCCCGAGAGCAACAGGCTCAGGGGCCAACAATTTGGCACCCCTTGATATCCAAACTCCAACATCTTTCGACAACAATTACTTCAAGAACCTTGTCAATAATAGAGGACTTCTCCACTCCGATCAACAGTTGTTCAACGGCGGATCCACGGATTCGATCGTTCGCGGTTACAGCAACAACCCGAGCTCCTTCAACTCTGATTTCGCTTCCGCGATGATCAAGATGGGAGACATTAGTCCCCTCACGGGATCACAAGGAGAGATCAGGAAGAACTGCAGAAGGGTGAACTAATACATGGGGTTCTTGATGTGCTTTTGCCTATGAAAAATAAAACTGGTTGGAATCTTGTTTCCTTTGTTTGTGTGCTTTTTATGTTTAATTTCTTCCATAATTGTTCAATGGCTTAGACCTTGTTGCAAAGAGACTGATAAAAAAAGTAATGAAATTAGAATTATTCCAATTTCTCTTCTCTTTTAAGATTAGATTTTGCATGTTAGTGAGACCATTTCTTATACATACGAACCATATTATGGGTGTTTGAAAGTTCATTGTTAATTAATCAAAAATATTTTATATATTATTTTATTATCTTCTCATATTAATAAAAAAAACTTAAGAAAATAGAGATTTATTAAATATTTTAATCTAAAAACGAGGGAAAAAGGCTATTTAAATTCATAGAGCTAAAAGGCCATTAAACTTTAAAAGTTGAGAGACAATGCCCTCCCAACGCTTGTATAGTTTGTTCGACATGGATTCTATATATTCGAATTCTATAAATTCAAAAAATATTCAAATTTAAATATTCTATTGTTCAATTTTTTTAATATTCTAAACATCAACTAGAATAGATTTATAAGAAAATAGACAGTGACAGATCTAGAAATTTAAAAATAAAATTTATTATTTTAATATTTTTTAAAAAATGGGTATGAAAATTTCGTATTACCCATTCTTTAACACATTAAATTAAATTTAATAGTTTCTGTAAGATCTTATATTAAAGTGCAATGTTTTTAAAACCGGACCGGACCTTAAACCGGTGAAGGTACTGTTTCACTGGTTCAACCGGATTAAACCGCAGTTGAATCGGTTTATATAAAATAATATTTTTTTTAAAATTTTACATAATATTCAAAGCAATATTAATATATATATATATATATATATATATATATATATATATATATATATATATATAACACTCTTTTTAAGTTCACAATATTAAAAGATATAAAAATATCACAAGTCATAACATATATAAGTTAAATATCATAATATCAAGTGAAACAAAATGATTCAAATCAACTACAACATAATATTTAAGGACAATACCTAATGAAATTCATCAACAACTAAATAAAAAAAGTACATAATTGATACAAGTATTAATCATCATAATATTCATTGAAATTGATTCCCTCAAGTTCTAAAATATTTGGAAAAACTTCTTCATTAGTTGAACTACCACCGCCATCACCACTTTGAACTTGAAACTCCATAGCATCACTTTGAACTTGAAAGTCCACAACATCAAGATCTTCATCACCCAGCAATATGGTAAATAAATACAAAGTTAAATTTAAATTTCCAAATAATATTTAACAATTAAAAGTAAAAGTGTAAACATATTAAATAATAAATATAATTATATAACTAAAATAAACAAACAAAGATTAATCTTTATTGTTTTTTTATTTTTTGGGGTTGAAAATAAATTTGGGACTAAAAAAATCATAACAAACGACGTCGTTTGATTTAATTTAAAAAACAGAACCGTATGAACCGGTTGAACTACCGGTTTTGTCGGTTTCCAACCGGTTTACTGTAAAACTGGTTTTGGTGGCTGACTAGACCGGATAGGCAATCGGTTCCCGGTTCAACCGGTCGAACCTGTCGATCCGGTCCGGTTTTAATAACATTGTTAAAGCGAGTAAAATTTTAATTTTTTTTAAAGAGAATGAACTTCTAAAATTTTAAGGGATAAAAATATATTATTAATAAAAAATTTAAATAAAAATAAATAAATTTAATGGCATCATTGAAGACCTACCTATCAAGTGAACCGCCATGAGAATTAGGAGAAATGTTCGGAAAATATATTTTTAAATAAAATTCCAAAAAAGTAAATATTTAAATGTAATGACATTATTTAAATGGGAAAATGTAATTAGTACTTTATTTTTAATTTATTAAAAATAGTATATTAAAAGTAATTCTTTTAAAAGTAAATAAATCATTCTTAACCGGTGCCTATTAGCAGAAAACTCAATTTAAAATATAAAGATAAAGAGGAAAATAAATATGATTGAACTTGTGAGGGTGTAATTAGTTTAGTAAAATGAAACACTATATTTTTAAATAAAATTAAAAATTATATCTTAATATTATAAATAAAATAAATTAATTTGAGAGAATTGGTTATATAATAAGTCAGCGATAGTTCTAAAAATTAAAAAACGGGTTCAAAATTTTAATATTTTATTTTTAAAAAAAATAGGTATGTAAATTTCTTTATTTATTTTTCATTACCCTTAATATATTAAATTAGATTTAGTAGTTTTTTTCAAAAATAATTGGTATGCAATTGAACCTCACAAAGATCGCATACATCTACATATAATAAGTTTTTGTAATATCTTATCTGAATTAATTGATCAATAAATTAAATGTCAATAGTTAATTAAACAGTAGCTAACATGTTATTTACTTTTTATAACATACCTAAAGTATTCAATTAATAAACTTTTATTAAAATGTTTACACAAATTACACAACTGTTTAATGCTTGAAACTATTTCTTTTTCACAATAGCATGCATTGGATTTTGAAGAAACTGTTCAATGATGAAAATTTGGCACTCTCAACCACAGCAATCATACTGAAATACGGTGTTTTTATCGAAAAATTATCGGTGATCGATATATTTATCGATCTAACATCGGTCAGATTATATTTTTCGATCTAACACCCGTAGCAGTAAAGCGCGCTCCCTGCCCCGCGCTATATGTTGATTTGGTGCCACGTGAGGTATAACGTGCCCCATGTACCGCGCTATACGCTGACATGGCTTACACGTGGGTATAGTGCGCCCCCTGTTCCGCGCTATAACTGTTTATCTGACACATGGGGTATAGCGCGGTATAGGGGGGCGCTATACCTTTAATTACCCCCAACCTTCCCTATAAATACCCCTCGTCCATTACTTTCATCATACCATATTCTCTCAAATTCTTTCAAATTCTCTCAAATACTCTCTCTGTTTAAGGTATATTTTATAATATTTTTAATATTATGTATTTAATTTATTTAAGCATTTTACTTTATTTATTATTTTTACTAATATAATTTTTTTACAGATATATAATGGAAGGTGATTTACTTCGCTTGGATGAAAATCATATATCTCGACACTTTGCTGATACGGTAACATTTTAACGTTTTAATTTAATTTAAATTATTTGTAATAATTTGTTTATTTATTTAATGCATGATTATTAGATTAAGAATTAATTTGTGTAATTATTATTTTTTAGGAGAAGGACCGTGTATTAGATCCTTTTATTAGGAATCTTAAGTTAGTGATACCTAGCTGTGTCTTGCCGTATTTAGTAGAGGCTGAATTTGGTTACATAGGTAGATATCAAGGTCACTGTAAGATAGAACCAGACCTTATTTCTGCCTTAGTAGAGCGGTGGAGGTCGGAGACCTACACATTCCATCTTCTGTGCGGAGAGTGCACGATTACACTTGAGGATCTTGCTATGCACCTAGGGCTTTCGGTGGATGGAGATGTGATATCAGGGATCTCGCAGGGTTCCTGGACTACTTTGTGCCGGGATAATCTAGGACGTGTCCCAGAAAGTTTTATCGGAGGTAGGATACCGTTAAATTGATTAGATGCCAATTTTCGGGAGTTAAGCGCAGACGCCTCTGAGGATAAAGTTAAGATGTATGCACGGGCATGCATACTGCAGTTAATAGGAGGGTTGCTGATGCCATACAAATCGCGCAACCTAGTTCACTGCATGTGGTTGCGACATCTTAGGACTTTCGTCTGGCCGGATCATTCAGTTTGGGCTCGGCAGTTTTGGATTTGCTGTACAGGGAGATGAGTGGAGTCACTGACTATAGGCGTAATGCTATCGACGGATGTCTCCTGCTGCTGTAGTCTTGGGCATGATATCGATTGCCCTTTTTATGTCCCGTTGTGAAGAACTCATTCGTATTTTCACTACTTTTGAGGTAATTATAAAACTGATTTTGTATATTAATAATTTTAAACAGCGAATAATAATTTTTTTTCCTTGAATAGGTGGTCTACTGATAGGAAAAATCATCAGGAGCTACCTGATGATTTAGAAAAATCGATCAGCAGGCTGGCACACATGTATGAATTTTAATGTTTAAAAATCGATTTTAGATTATAGTTATATAATTAGATTATTATTTTGATAAAAATTATATATATTTGTTTTAGATATAATGGGTGACATATTCTACTGATGATGTGAGGACAGTGATCCCACCTGAGTTGAGGGGCCCATCAGATGTTTGGATGACGATGGTCCCTCTGATCTGTTATGCGACCGTCGAGTGACACTCTACTGATCGCGTGCTCCGGCAGTTTGGTTGTTTTCAACCAATTCCGGAAGCACCTCGCAATATGGACGAGTTGCATAGCTTAGATAGACGCGACAAGACAGATACAGATTGGCTGGTGAGGCATCATGAGTGTGTCGTGTTGTGGGAGGATCGACATCGACGTCTTCCCCGTAGAGAGCCCATTTTACTTGACCTCTTGAGTGTTGCTGAAGGTTATTATGAGTGGTTCAACAGTAACGGGAAACCGTTTCTGCTTCCCGAGGATGCACGAGGGCAGACCTTTCTGCGACGTCGACAGAGACGTTCACCGACACAGCACCATCGTCCCCCGACTCGTGGACGGAGAGCAGGTGCTTCCGGTTCATCCTCAGCTGCACCAGCAGGACCTTCACAGCAGCCACTGCAACCATTTATGATGCCGCAACCATATATGATGCCGCAGCCTTTCCATTACCAGATGCCGCTGCCTTCACCTGGTTTTATGACCCCGCTGCCGCCACCATCACAAATGACCCCTCATGGAGGCTATTATGGGTATATGTTTGTAGATCCAACTTGGGGTTCATATGCTGAATATCTGGCGGGTTCAGCCTCATCACCCATGGTCGCAGCACAGACACCTCCTATACAATTTTCACACTCAGCGATGTCTGGGTTTTATGAGTTTTCCTAGTTTTTCGTAGGCCGGTGGGATAGTCAGATATACACCTCCAGAGTCCTTATTCTAT